TAATGAATGGCTATTTAATCAAAATACTTACCGACCATCAGTAATTCATGAAACACCTTCGTATTTTAACGAACAATATGTGAATCCAGAGGTGGCTTGCTGCGCGAAATATAACCAAAATTTTCCCTGTCGATCTATAATTCATGAAACAATATACATGAATGATTCATATGTGAATTCTGAGATGGTACGCTACAGAAGAAAAAAGTCTGCATTTAACCAAAATTTTACTTGTCAATCAATAAATCAAGAAATGATACCATCTCTGAACGAACACATTTGCCCTGAAATACCTCGCTTATCACATAGTGATTCATCGTCGGTGCTAGAGGTAAACCGAGGAACTTATGATAAAATGGCCATAGACCGAGAGTCTAAATGTTTTAATAGAACACAAGATTTACGTGAGCAGATGATAGAATGTTGGTCTTCTCACAAGCTTGAAGAAGATAGGTCGTATAAGAGATGCACAGATTCATGTTTATATACATGCAAAGGTGACCAACCAAGTATAATTTTTCAAAAAGGACAGTATGCATGTAATGAACCGAGCTGTAATTACCGTTTTCTTCGTCAATCAGATTTGGAAAATCACATAATTGTACATATAAGGTTTAAACCTTTTACTTGTAAACATCCCGGATGTAATCAATCATTTCCGTGGCTCTATCTTTTAGAAAAGCATCTTCTCACCCATGAGACCGGAGGCCCTCTGAAATGTGATTATTCTGGATGTGACAGGGAATTTATGGCACCGAAATGAACTTGTCGATGAAATAATACGGATCCATTCTAAATATTATAGGTAAACCTTTAGAAACTTTCGGTTAAATAGTAGGTCGATTAGGAGTACTATAGTTTCATTAATTATATAAGCTAAATGTCGTGTTATATCCCTAATAAAGGTCGTGATAATTAAAAATAAAATTGAATTACTTAATTTTTAAAAGATAATAAATAATTTCGCTAATAATTTATTCGGACATTGAATTTTTCGATGAGTTTGGATTTATTAGTGATAAATATTAATTTACTACGTTTACGCGTATCTATCTATCTCTAAATATGTGACAAATACTTTTTTATTAGTTTGTAAGCTTTTTTATGTGAAGTTCTTTCGTTTTCTAGTAGTATTACAAAATTAACCAATCATATGAATGTCTTCCTATGCTTCGAAATCTTTCGGAAGTTTTCTTATGGAAGCAGATTTAATTGGCTAAAGTATACTATTGGTATTATACAATACGGTTTAATATCGCGTAATTATGCTATCTGTTCTCTTCCGTGATGCTGTGATGCTGATTGACGATAACTTTGGTGCTTACGCGTTGATTTACATATAAATATTTGTTTGAACTGATTTTTTTGAAGGCACCCCTTTTCAAAAGTACAGTATTTTCCTTTTATTATTCATTTGAATTTAGTCTTAATTATTATTTTTTTTTTAATATTAAGATAACCTTTATAGCCAGAAACTTTTTATTATACAATTAATAATGTTTACAATTATAATAAGAGTACAACTAATCACAAATACAATTTTTGATTATCTATTTAAGTGGTCTGTCTGGGTTTTACACTAGCTACTATACTTGCAATCTAACTAGAAAATTATCTATTTAAGCTTTTTGGTTTTTACAAATAAAAGTATAACTAGCCAAAAATCTAATTATAATATCAAAACCTTAAAATCTTAGAATTTTAAAGCCTTGAAACCTTAAAAAAAAAAAATAAAACTATATTCTATTAAGGAACTTGGGAATAAAATAATACAAAATTTAAAAAAAATATTATATTTACACTTACTATATATTTTATTTAGATATAAAAGATCAAAAACCTCTTTAAAGTATAAGCTATATAAAAAACCATAATATTGAGAACTAGCAAAATCAAAAGCTTATAAACAGAGCTGAATTATTATTCATGTTTATTTTTATATTATGAATTTTAATATTAAATTTAGAAAATTGATATTTCCACACCCTTTTTAATAATGCCACACCTATATAGATTATTTTAATTTTTTTTTAACTTTAATCAAAGATATCTTGGCAACCACCTAATCAAATTTGACCAACTTTTTTTCTTTGACTTCTATGGGCTTTTTAAAATTAAAATAAAAAAAGGTGATCAAATTTGGTCAGGTAGGTGCCAAGATATCTTTAATCAAAGTTTGTAAACAATTTTTGCCACAGCTATGGTTAATTGATTTGATAGATGTTTAGAAACTTTGATCGAAGATATATCAGCATCCACCTGACCAAATTCGATCAACTTTTTTCTTTGAATTCTATGGCTTTCTATAATTAAAATAAAAAAAGTTGATCGAATTTGATTAGGTAGATGCCTAGATATCTTCAATTAAAGTTTGTAAATAATTTTTACCGCAGCTTATATTTGATAGATGTTTGGAATTTTACAAAACTTTGATCGAAGATATCTCGGCACCCATCTGACAAATTCGACCAATTTTTTTTCTTTAAATTCTATGGCTTTATATAATTAAAATAAAAAAAAAGCTGATCGAATTTAGTCAGGTGGGTGCCGAGATATCTTCGGTCAAAGTTTGTAAACAATTTTTGCCGCAGCTTATATTTAATAGACGTTTAGAATTTTATAAAAACTTTGATCAAAGATATCTCAGCACCTGCTTGACAAAATTCGATCAAATTTTTTCTTTGAATTCTACAGCTTTCTATAATTAAAATAAAAAAAGTTGTG